CCCTGATTGTACGAAAAATCGTACAGACAAAATGGCCGCCGTTCGTTCTCAAATAGCGTAAAAAATATGGTATATCAAGGTTGTGGACCCCATAGAGGTCACAATTTTTATCCGATTTTGTTGAAACTTGAAATGTAAGTTTATAACCCAAAGATCTCGGTTCCTTTTGATATTCGCGCATATCGGAACGTAACTTCCTGAATTATGGCCCCTGATTGTACGAAAAATCTCGTTTTTAGCTTGTGGACCCTATAGAGGTCATAATTTTTATCCGATTTAAAAAAACGTATTATTATATCACCGTTACACCCTAAGGACGACTGAGTTCAAATTTCGTGAAAATCGGCCCAAAACTGACAGACAAAATGTGGGCATATCCTGCCCGGCAGCCGTTGGTTTTTATTTATAATAAAAAGTATCAAATTATATTTTGTTTATTGTTTGTTTCATGACATAGCTGCCACTGCATCTAGTACCCGAAACCTGTCCTACTACAATAGCGTGTAGTTTCAACAAACAAAAGGGACATATTAATCAGATCTTGTCGAAAGTAAATGGGTCTCCCAATCTTAATATAATACTACAAGCTTTCTGAAAGTTTCAGAAAAATCTTAACAAACATGTGGCCTATATTTTGCTATCGATCACTACAAGCAGTGCGGACAAGTTTCGATAAAAAAGGACATAAAACTTTAAACATATGAATCCTACTTGGAAGAAAAAATAGGGATCCTCGTCCCATCATAATACAAGATCCTTGGAAGTTTCAGAAATATCTGATCAAAACTCTGGCCTCTTTTAGCTCAGAAGTACTATTCAGATAATCAGACCCTGTGAATACGAACTCAATTTCCGACTCGCCACCTTAATACTTTTGCGTTATTTTGCATGGTTTTCTCGTGGACTTATACGTAACGGTTATAACTACAATGTACAAGGAGTAGGGTCGCCTGTCCAACCTCGTGGGTTTTCTCCGGGTCCTCCGGTTTCCTCCCACTGCTAAAGACTCCTACGCGCAAGCGAATTATTGAAATAAAATTAAACCATATGTTAGTCCCGAAATGACATAGTTTCTGTCGAGTGGACGTTAAACCCCATTTCTCTCTCTCTCTCTTTCTTTATTTTCAAGTGTAATTGACCTGCAATCTTGCTCTAGCCTTGGGAATTTAACTAATCGTATTGATTGGACACAAATTGAATTAGTTAAATATTTAAGGAGTGTAAATAGTTGGAAGTAGACGTTTAGCTACTTTAGTATTATATTTTGTAAAGTAAAATTAAGTACGTTTTTTTACTTCTTTTGTATATAATTGTAGATATTCAACGTAATTACTGAAAATGTTACGAACCGTTCCTGGACCTTCCTTTAGCGTAGTGAAACTGATATTGTTCCAATATACTAGATTGTCCAACTCATCCCATTCTTTGATCGAATTCCTGGATCCACGCTTAGTACAACTGTACTATTACAACGTAATAACAGTCAATAATACATATTTATGATGTAGCAAGGGTTTCAATCATGTACATATATCAACATCATATGTCACTCCAATCGATATACATCTGTAGAAATGTCGATATCATTTTAAAGCCACTGGAACCTTAATCTATATAGATGAATTGGTAATGACGATTTTTTACAGCTGACGGAGAGAGGAGGCGGGGTGTTACAAATTAGTGACACCAACATGAAATGGGTGTTTAACGTCCTATATTTCTGCATCAACCCGGCTAATGAAGACAGGAACACGTCATGTGCATGTAATGTAGTATGATGTAAAGGAAATGTTGCCCGGACAGCGGCGTTTCCACTTACCCTTCATCGAATTCTGCCATGGGTTCTCTTACGTGCAGGCACTAGTCCACATATTCACTAGTCCGCCGATATCTATTATTGTCATTTTTACGATTGATGATCACATGTAAATGCACACCCGTAACGAATTCTGACAATATTACTCACGCACCCACCCTAACAATGAAATGTTATGAACCCACCCTGACATAACGCACCCAACCTAATAATGAAATGTAAAGACGTATACCCACCCTGACTATTATCGTTCTAATAGTTTGTTATATTACAGTATCGTGGTGTTATAAAATGTGTTCATATGAAATGTACCGAAACCTTCAGGTGGTCATTGTTTCTTTTGATACCAATGTAACAATATTTTGACTCTTGACTTACCTGTCTGACCTTGACCATTGACATAACATGGCCTTAAATATTCAGTAGGTCCTGCTGTTTTTTAGAGTTTTTTTTGATACCCATAACTATAGGTTTTTTTTATACGCCCACATTTTCATGTGGGTATATTGTCGTCGCCCCTGTCCGTCCGTCCGTCCACAATTGTTTGTGAACAGTCTACAGGTAACAATTTTTATCCGATTTCAATGAAACTTGAAATATAGGTTTATCACCCTAAGATCTCGGCTCCTTTCGATATTGGCATATATCGGACTGTAACTTCATGGATTTTGGCCCCTGATTGTACGAAAAATCACGTTTTTAGCTTTTGAACACTGCAGAGGTCACAATTTTTATCCGATTTTGTTGAAATGTAAGTTTATAACCCAAAGATCTCGGTTCCTGTCGATATTCGCGCATATCGGACCGTAACTTCCTGAATCATGGCCCCTGATTGTACGAAAAATCGCGTTTTTAGCTTGTGGGCCCTATAGAGGTCATAATTTTTATCCAATTAAAAACCAAATGTATTATTATATCACCGTTGCACCCTATGGACGACTGAGTTCGAATTTCGTGAAAATCGGCCCCAAACTGAGAGACAAAATGGCCTCCCTTCGTTCTCAAATTGTACGGAAATACGCGTTTTTAGCTTGTGGACCCTATAGAGGTCATAATTTTTATCCGATTTAAAAAAACCTATTATTATATCACCGTTACACCCTAAGGACGGCTGAGTTCGAATTTCGTGAAAATCAGCCCAAAACTGACAGACAAAATGGTCGCCCTTCGTTCTCAAATAGTGTAAAAATATGGTATGAAAAATCGCGTTTTTAGCCTGTGGACCCTATAGAGGTCATAATTTTTATCCGATTTAAAAAAAAAACGTATTATTATATCACCGTTACACCCTAAGGACGACTGAGTTCGAATTTCGTGAAAATCGGCCCAAAACTGAGAGACAAAATGGCCTTTTGGCCGATTTTCACAAAACTCGAACTCAGCCTTCCTTTGGGTTAACGGTAATACACTAAAACGTTTTTTTTTTAAATCGGATAAAAATTATGACCCCTATAGGGTCTACAAGCTAAAAGCGCGATTTTTCCTACAATCAAGGGTCATAATTCAGGAAATTACAATTTGTTATCCGCAAATATCGAAGGGCGGCCATTTTGTCTGTCATTTTTGGTCCGATTTTCACGAAATTTGAACTCAGTCGTCCTTGGTGTGTAACGGTGATATAATAATACGTTTTTTTTTAAATCGGATAAAAATTATGACCTCTATAGGGTCCACAAGCTAAAAACGCGATTTTTCGTACAATCAGGGGCCATAATTCAGGAAGTTACGGTCTGATATGCGCGAATATGAAAATGTGGGCGTATAAAAATCGCTTTCTTTTTAGCTTGTTCTCTATCCTGCCTGGCAGCCGCTGGTTTTATATTGCGGCGGACTATAGTGCACCCGCGAAATATTGAGCAGCAAAATTTCTTTTATTTTGCCAATCAAGATAATTAAGCCCACAGGTAGACAAATAATGTATGTGCTTTTTAGCAATTTATCCAACACACTTCCTTCTTGACAAATGGGGAAACCGGTATGGCTTCTGTTTTTGACATAAAACATTGACAGAAAGACAAGGTAAAAATTAACTTCGTAGAAATCAATTATTTTCACAGGGTTTTATTTATTTCTTATATTATCTGAGATTAATAGCAAGCAGTCAAGGATCAACAGAAGTCATTATTAATATTTAAGGGGACTTTCTGTTTTGACTTATCGTCCCTGTATGGACTAAGTGAATGGGCTTGATCGTCGTCCTTTTTTATGCGCCACCCAGGATACATGGCGACAATTAGGACGACCTACATGTATTTAATGGTAATTATGACGGTGATTTTATTTGTTAGGAAATATTGATGATGGTATTTTCAAAAGTTATATAAAACCAAACTACTGTCTTCGGTGGCTCAAGAAGATCCCCGGGTTCGTTTAGAAAGTTTATAAGGGGTTTAACGCAAGCACAGCGTCTAGTCGTTCGAATGGGACAGAAAAACGAGGTCGTAAAATAACCCTTGACTGTAGGAATTCGAAATAAGAGTAAGTTGCAGCGTCCCTGTCGGGGCTAAATCACCCTCCTTACACACTGCATGGGGTATGTCCATCTTCATTAGAATAGTGGAGTGGAAGCGTGGGTCGTTAAAATACCCATTTGTCATACCATCGGTCTTTGCCATGGTCATGGATCTTCTGGACCGTGCAAGCTAGGTTAGCGCGGAGATTTTATCCGGCGGTACGTAGGCATATAAATGCAACCAAAACACACTGGTTGCTTTATAATTGTTACAGTAAATGGCCTTTTCCACAAAAATGTAAAATGATGACCAATATTGTGTTAAAATCATAGGACCATATTTTATTCTAAATTATTAAATTTAGTTTATCTTTAAAATGAATCTTATGTTACTGACTTTCAACTTATCTATAGCTGTAAAATAAATTTTATGTCAAATGAATTTAAAGTGAATGTTATGTCAAATGGATTTTAAGTTATCTGTAAAATGAATTTTACCTGATTTGCAAAATGAATTTTAAGTTATCTGTAAAATGAATTTTAAGTTATATGTAAAATGAATTTCATGTTTTATGTTTCAGTCATATTTCTTGTTTTATTGACAACTATGGTGGACGACCCCATCGCTCCCCCCACCCCCTCGGCCCCCTATCAAATGACCTGTTGTTGATATTTTGCTTCGAAATTTTTTTTAATGCAAAACATATTGACGGAAACTGATGAATGGATAATCATTACTTTATTCTAATGTTATAAATGACCATATGTTGTCATTAAATGATTTACAACCTACTTTAAAACAATTCATATCAAGAATCTATAAACAATTCAATGTTAAAGGAACCGTCCCGGAATCCAATGGTTAACAGGTCCCAATTCTATGGAAACAATTAATTACGGCTTATTATTGCGCGACGTTTCATTGCTTGATAAAGACTAGAGAAGCCTAGTCGAAACGTTGCTCAGTAAGTATATTGCACAGAATTGTGACTAGTTCTATAACTGAATGTCAAACAATCCAAAATATAAAACTTCAGCTGAAATGATAGTCAGGGTTACTGAGATAATGATTTCGATTAAATTGTTTCGTTTTGTGACCTGAAACACAACTACTATCTAGAAAACAACAAATTTCATAGGTCTCGACTCGGAAATGATAGCTGCAATTGTTTAACGTTATTTCAGGCACAAATTTACCAATATTCTGTAATTGCATGACCTGGTGGATGCGAATATAATGTGCTCTTTCATTTATCTTTGTCAAGAATCTGTTCGTCCATTTTCATGTGATGTTCATTTACCTTTTCAAGCACCCCAAACATCTAAAAAATTCGATTTGGGTTTGTCTGTTCTTTTAAAGATGTAATCCGGTTGACAGTCGTACCCAAAAGCGTCACAATCAGTCTTAAACAGTTCACTTAATGCCCTCAAATCTGGTAGAGGAACTTGACTATAAGCTTCCTCTAAAACTAACTGACGATTCTTTGAACGCAATTCTCTTGGCCCCGATGCTCTAAACGCCCTTTCAAAAAGTTCCCGTAATTGTATATTGTTGATAGTTTCTTCTTCATTGGCACTTAAAGGATATTTAATTTCCTTTGCTATTACACCCGTAAATTGAAAATTGCGCCACGCCCGACGCAACCCTTCAGCTATGGATACGCAGTCAGGAAGTTTTTTTATATCCTCTATCAAGTGACGTGAGTTAATGGCAATGGTATCCAGTTCCGTACCTTCCTCTATTCTGTGCATGTCTTCCATTAAATGTGGAATGTTGGTTGCGTTTAATTTATCTAATACATATAACGTATCTTCTTTATAAGTCTCCAGTTTAGCAATTATATCGTATTTAATTTGACATGGTCGACAGTGATCAGAAATAGGGGTGAAATGGTCATCTCTGCCCCGATTCAGCTTCTCGGTGATAATTACGAATTTGACAATTTCCGGAAATGTAACGTCATGGCCACATCTTAGACTCTTTTCAGTTGCATGTACTCGCGTGTAGCGAATAATCGAACCGCCAACTACTGCTCTGAATTTAGGGTTGACTAGGAAAAACTTATTGGCAAAAGCCGAGAAAAGTCGAGAATATGGATCCCGGACGATTATGAACTTCAAGGAATCTTGCAAAACGGCATGAATATAGTCGAAAGATGCATCGTTGAAGGTAGGTGCGTTCTTACCAAATTCATTTACTATATCGAATGGACTAGACTCTTCCGAATTGCCTGAAATGATCTTAAGTAATCTTCTCCAAAAAGTAGATCCTATTTTTTGTACGGCACAATAAACGAATTTATGTTTTATATCATGGAAAAAATGATTTTTTAAAACTGCATCGGTATTATGTCCCACTGTGTCCAGTTCCTTCCCTCTACAATACGACAGCAAATGATTTCTCCTTTTTTGTAGAATTTTACCTGTTGCCGAGGAACCGAAATCTACGCTGACTGCCTGAAGATCAAATAAATTCAAAATTAAATTTATTTAAATAACGTTCATTGTTAATAGATGATTGGTTAGACCCATAGTCTAAAATTGAATATGGCTGATGTAATATTACAGATGATTTCGAATATTCTATTAATTCTTGGGCGATTGTTTTCATGTAGGAAAGTGCGAAACTAAATTGTATAACGAAATATACTAATGGGGTTGCCTAGCACCCACAGATCAAATATATTGTCTTATTATCATAAAGATCCATCTAAACAGAAATTAGCTTAAAATAAAATTTTAATGATAAATACCTGGTAATTGGGTTGAATGGAGTTATTATATGGTACATTAAATTCTGAAGAAAAGAAAATGATCTGATAATTACTTAGCTTAAAGCATTTCGTTTGTAATGTTATATATTTACGTTGAATATTGCCATCTCATTAATGAAAAGCTGATAATTTACATTATTTAATCCTTTAGAATCCAACCATAAGGCGAAACTTAAGGGGCATTATCAGCGCATTAACCTTTGCCGCATTTAGATGGCAATTATTGGTGATTGTTGTTATTGGTCTGCAATGTTCGCTTTCAGAATAATCAAAATAGCTGATACGTCCTCTCGTTTCACAAAGCTAACCACGTTTAGTTGTTGTGCACATATATACTTGACTGTAAGGAATAACAACTTTACATTTAGTCGTTCTTGGCATCTTCACACATCAAAACCAACATGCTAGAATTACAACCATATATAGTGGTTATCAATTGCCAATTTGTCTCTCAAGGAAGTCTACACGCTTAATGAAATAGAAAATAAGAAATGGGGTTGTTTAACGCCCTACTGTTCTACTCCGACTGAGCTAATGAAGATGGGTATGCGTGCTATAAGCAAATTTTTGTCGGAACAGCAGCACTATGGCCTACGCTTATTTCGGATTCCAACTGTTGAGGGCTCTTATACGTGCACGTAGTGTGTACACGGGACCTCAGTTATTCGTCCCATCCGAACGACTATACACCACTGGCATGGGGGAGACCACGCCGGAAAATCCCTGTGAATTTTTTTGGTCAACGCAGGGGCCGAGCTCAGGGCCTCCAGGTTAGCGAGCCAACGTCCTATGTCCACTGAGCCGCTCTGACTCCCTTTGTAGCTTCTTTATCTTGGGGCCGTGGGGGGAGAATGGTTAGCATGTGCGTGCTGTATCATAAGGTCTATCATTGAGTGAAGTGGTGTGGTTTCGATTCCCCGGTTGTAAGTGACAAGGAGTAGGGTCGCCTGTCCAACCCCATGGGTTTTCTCCGGGTCCTCCGGTTTCCCCCCACTGCTAAAGACCCCTACGCGTTAGACGCGAAATGACCTAGTTTGTGTCGAGTGGGCGTTAAACCCCGTCTCCCTCTCCCTTGTTCCTGATGAAATTTACTTCTCCTTTACACAAATAACCATTTATTAGAACAATAAATAGATGACACTACCATTCGGGCATATTTACTCATACAGACTGGAGAGGGGATAGCTCAACTTAGCCTGGGGATTAACTTACCCCCTCTCCCCTGCTAACTGACAGCTCGAAGAACACAGTTGTTGCAATAGAAAAAAGGTATCAGGTGTTCTCACAAAACAATGACATTATTATATATGACGCAAACTACCCATCTATCCACATAGTTGGATTTATACAATAGGATGTAAGAACTAATCTATATTAAATTTCCACATCTTGAGAAGCGGAAGAAATCAATGTCGATTAGTTGAGAACAGGATTTTATGAGTAATACAAACTGTTTTCCAAATGTGGTGTAGTCGAAAAGGGATCTAGTTGAAATGTGGGTAAACCGTGACCGCAAACCGTATATTCCGGTGATAACCCATTAGATGACCAGTTGTTGTTGTTCGTCATGTTTAACCTCCGCTTCAACCGATGGTGGTTTCGGTGTAAATCCACGAGATTAAATGGGCGCCCCTATCTCCAAACCACATACGAGCGGTCAAAAACCCGACCAGCTAAAGCTCGAAGCCCGATCGCTAGGGTATCCCAACCCGCAAGACCCTTTGCTTAAATGGACCCGTCTGTCTATGCCACTCATGTCAAAGGGTTGGAGGTAGATCGGCGTTAACAGTTTTGTTACGTAGTTTGGTACTTTAAAAGGGAGCCCCCTATCTCCAGACCATACATACCAGGGGTCGAAAACCCGACCGCAAGCCAAAGATGACCGACCAGCTATATATCGCAGCGCGGTTCCTAGGGCATCCCAACCCCTCCAGATCCTTTGCTTAAATAGACACGTCTGTCTATCCCACTCATGGCAAAGGATTGGAAGTAGATCTGTGTATAATTTGTGTTGCATAATTTGATACTATATTTTATTTAAGTGCACAAGGCGACGCGTGATGAAATCTGGCTGGTAATAGAAGACAGCCCTTTTAAATATAATTGTTGTCAATAATCCACATGTTTGGCTGGACTCGGGTTATAACAGTGGCAGTGTACTGAAGAGTCGCATAGTTAGATAACAAATTATTACTTACCAGCTCGAAATCTTGTTACTTGGATAAGTATTACCCCATTGTGAATAACGCAATAAAGTGCCACAGATAAAACCAAAAATAAAAACAAATTGGATTTTTTAAATTTGAGTTGTCTGAATTTCGGATAAAACAACATGACCTCTTTTTATTAGAGACATGAGTAAGCATACAAACAGGAAAGCTTTTAACTTCTATTTACTATATTAAGGTCACAAATGATTCAATAGAATCAATATGTACTAGTGATTTTATGTATACTTGTTATTGATGTCGAAAACATATTTTTCATTAGTTTAAAGGAGCTAACCCTCTATTCTTCGAAACCTAAAATGGACGCAATTAATGAGTCGCAATGTAATATTGATTTACATTGAATTATATATTTTTTTTAATTGTAATCAGTTATGTTCGATTAAATAACTTAGAAGTCTCAATTGAGTCGATTGTGCCTGGTTAGTTCAGTCTACACCAGGAGTAAGATTTGACATGTAACTTCCGTATAGACGTTTTATCTCATTCATTGTCTTTTTAAAGGCTTTGGATTGGAATTTGTAATCAGTATGATCTTTAAAATACTTGAGCCGTCCAAATTGAATGGCTGTTGTTTGCGCCTAGTTGGTCCAGTCTGTATATTTATTGTCCTGTTAAGTTCTATGACAACTAGATCTGTAGAGCGGACTATTGTTTATTTAGGACTTAACTTTTACAGCATAAGATTGAGTAGCGCTACAAAGTGCCTTTGTAACGAACATATTATAATAAACTATAACACATACTTATGGAAGAACAATTACTGATTTATTTGGGCGACGTTTCGAAGAGTATTCTCTCAACGTTTTCAAGCAAGTACATATTATAAGCTTGGCATTGTATTATCTTACATTATGGAGTTATTTTCCAATAAACAGTAAACGAAATATAAATATTTTTACATCTCCCCCTTAAAGAATAACAAACTATTTTAATATCAATGCAGTAACAGAAATTAAATTATGAAACATTATGCCTAAATGTTAATACATGTAAACCCATTGAACAACATATATGCATTCGACCACTTCTACTTTTATTAATATCAAAATCTGGAACAGGTTTTAAGTATAATCTATTACGTCTAAATTTGCTCCATTTCCATTGCTCACAATGAAAGATCTTGGCGTAGCCTTTCATTCTATTACCGCAGGATTCCCAGATTTACAACTATGATCATATATGACAACTTTTTGATTTACATCTAGATTATTATTATTTACATTATGCTTCTTGTCATATTGAATATTTTGCTTATCTTGTCTAGATTGTAAACAAACTAAATAGTCTTCATTGGTCTGAGTTCTAACTGTTCTGAAACTTGGGCTAATATGGGGGGAAATATTCAAAGTCTACTACTTGACTCGGTATAATATTAGAACACTTAATATGGATACAATCACATGCTTTATTATACTACAATGTTTCATTTGTACCTTAGGTATTTGCTTGAAAACGACTTGTGAAATCTTGTTGAAAGTTGCAGTATAATAAACTGGTGTTCAACCTTCTCTTCGAACTTTAACCAGTAGTTTTTAAAACATTTTAGATCTGCTTCTGAAAGATTCCAACTGTTAAAAGGTTCTAAATCGAACTCACTGGACCAAAATATTTACACTCGATATCTTCTTCAAGTTTTTTTCATAAGACCAGTAAACTAAAGTTCACATTGTTGTCTCCAAATCTTATATCTGGAATATAATCCCTCATATTCCAGCCAACTGATTGATGGACCTTTATCTAAAAATGCAGCCTGAGACAAACCTGTCGCCATTTTAGTTTTCGTTACCGTATCGTAGGTCTAGTCTCCTATCAATATACAGAATTATTTTCTCTTGACACAAATCTACTTAAACCAGTAAATACGTGCTCACGTTTGACACCGTGTAATTTAATGTCCTGTTAGGTTCTATAACAACTCAATCTGTAGAGTGGACTATGGTTTATTTACGGCATAACTTTTACAGCATAAGATTGAGTAGCGCTACAACGTGCGCTTGTGACGAACACCCACGTCTATCATATTATAACCTTGACATTGGATTATCTTATATTATGAATTGATTTTCCAATAAACAAACGAAATATAAATATGTTTACACAGTCTACATGAGGAGTACGACTTAACATTTCACTTCCGTACATACATTTCGTCTCGTTCATCAAGTCGCCTCATACATAGAGAGAACGAGGTTGCTCGCTGATTTTAAAATGTTCATTGTGTATTAAATATTGGATATCAGAAATCCATCTTTTCATGGTAAGACAACGACATCAGTATTAATTGAAATGGACTACTATTAAATTATAATTCGCATTCCAGCAAAATTTGACACCAAATGCACTGTGGTCTGACATCATATCAAAATCGGTTATGTCTTTAAGTCCTGGAACGACAATACTATATACCGGAAAACACCATGTTATACTGAATACCGGAAAACACCGGAAAAACACTAAATACCGGAAAACACACTAAATAGGTAACCCGGAGACTGGCACCCTAAATAGGTAACCTGGAGCCTGGTCCTCTGTGTGCCGGGGTTAGGGTTAGATTCCGGTTCGTAGTATAGCCCTTCACCGGGTTACCTAGTTAAGGTGTTTCCCGGTATTTAGTGCGTTTTCCGGTATTTAGTGTTTTTCCGGTGTTTTCCAGGATTCAGTATGACATGGTGTTTTCCGGTGTTTTCCAGTATATAGTATAGCCCATGTAGGAATAGCAATCGATTTCCGGTAATTTGATAAAGGTTGTCTGTATGTCCCAATGAACATCAAACTCACATGTTATAAAATTTAACTGATAACTTTTCCAGGATTCAGTATGACATGGTGTTTTCCGGTGTTTTCCAGTATATAGTATAGCCCATGTAGGAATAGCAATCGATTTCCGAAAATTTGATAAAGGTTGTCTGTATGTCCCAATGAACATCAAACTCACATGTTATAAAATTTAACTGATAACTTTTTATTTGTCAAGATTATGATATAGTATAGATATTTTTGTTATTCAAATTAATTGTTTTAAATTTAATATGGCAGTTAGAAGTATCTCTCATCTTTATTATTATCTTACAACGTGACCACAGTTCAGTAGGCCACATTATTTTACATAATATAGTATACGTATATCACTTATGTTACACAATTTATTAAATAATACCTATGAAATGTTAAGGTCAATCTTTGTACATCTATCTATAATCCCCTTGACATGATTAACTTCGTTCCAATTAAACTTCTGAATTGATGATAAGGTTTGCTTTATATACGACAGAAGACATTAGGCCACATTATTTTACATAATATAGTATACGTATATCACTTATGTTACACAATTTATTAAATAATACCTATGAAATGTTATGGTCAATCTTTGTACATCTATCTATAATGCCCTTAACATGATTAATTTCGTTCCAAGTAAACTTCTGAATTGATGATAAGGTTTGCTTTATATACGATAGAAGACATACGGTCAGTATTCTTACTGCACCAGTCTTCAATAAACGTTTAAACCTTCATCAGAGTATATAATTTATTTGGAACTTTATATTATTTTTAGGTGAATTAATATTTCGTATTAGTAATAATTTGTATGTTGTATTATTCCTTTGTTATTTTAATAATAAAAGGTTACTATCTTTATATTACGCATAGTATGTGAAATGTTATATTGAGAATTACATCACGTGATATATGCAATTCCATACATAGTTATGCACATACGTTTAATATCAAACGTCGCATACAATTTATATTAATAATATTCGAACAATGCCAGACGTAAGGCAAAGCTATATATATATGTTCTTTTGCTAAAGACATTAAATATATTTCGAATTGTAATTATGATGTCTAATGTATTCTGAACCGTATTATAATAACTTCTCTTATCTTTTATTATTTATGCATATTGTTTTAATATTTTGTGTTCATTATATATGATGCTTACTGCACCAGTCTTCAATAAACGTTTAAACCTTCATCAGAGTATATAATTTATTTGGAACTTTATATTATTTTTAGATCCCCCAGAATATCCAGAATATACTGTGAGAACGTGAAAGAACACCCCAAATTACCTAAAGTAAATTAACTAATTATTTAGCAAACGGAGCACGTTCTCAATTATATAAACTTAAAACATAAACGTTGGAATATATTGGATTAATCCTTATGGACCTATAAACGACCCCATTGTAAATAATGCATTCCACTTATAACCTTTCCGTGTATCGCGTTCACAGACTTAACAGTTGAGGTGAGAAAAGAAAAGACATTTAACAGCCTACTTTTTTGCAGAAACAGGGATAATGAAGACGGGAATTAAGACAGAACAGAACGATGACTTGGCAAAAGGCGTTCAAAATATACGATCCTGTTTCAAATTATAAATTATTTCATAGGTTATCGACAAAAGAATAATTACGCCATTAGGGTCTGGATGATCCTTGGCCATACTTAAAACTCAAAACAATTTCTTCGATTCTATGCCCAAAGGTCGACCAAAAATACGCCACGCAAAAGGAAGAAAGACTACGAATAGAAGGAACAGCTCAGAGGATGACCCAATGAGTTGGGTTTAATGTTGGTCTGTATCCATGTACTAAAATAAAGAACGATTTGTATATTATCATCCTTATCTGGACTTTACTCGAAATATAAACTTGTGATTAATGACACGCCACTTTTATAATTCGACATACTATAATTAGAACACCTACAACCCACAATTTCAGCTGTTAACTTACGTGTCGAATGACATTTACTAGTTAAACTTAGTGGAATATTTTATGTCCATTTTTACTGCGGTGATTTTAAATATACACAAATTAAATACAGAGACGATTAGGCAAGCAACATATTGATAATACAAACTGACATAGACCAAATTAACAATGTAATTAAAAACTATTTATCAAACCTTTGAAGTTTTTTTCTGGAACAACGGATATACTGATGTACAGTATAAAACAATATTTAAGACATTAACCTTCAAGGCGATGAATATTTCTTTCGTAAACATCGATAATCGAATTTACAAAATGTAATTTACGGAAAATGTGATGAATATTGACTATTTAATTGAATGTCAAGCTATTCGAGTGGT